ACTCGTTTGTAATCGATATGTCGATCCCGAAAAGTGAACTCTCTTCTTCCTCTCCCTCCATTCCTCTTGGTGATGAGCAGGACCACCGTCCATCATAGAAGGCGAAAACCTAATTGTACTATTGTTTACTGCTTGTGCATGCACATTCTTTATTTGTTGCAAAGAGTCTTCCGAAACAATAATCCCAAGTGATATATTAGAGACTTTTCATTCTATTTTACTCATACTTGTCTATTTTACTCATACTTGTCTGTATTAGAGGCTTTATACGGTGTCTTATGGGTAGGTGACAAAGGACTGCAATTCCCTGCAGTCAAGAAAATGGTGCATTCACACTGTCACATCTACGGGTGTGGTTGAGTTCAAATTCTTGTTTTTTACTTTTGAGAGCTATTGATGTTACCATGTGATTATGGCCACGGTGATGATGTACATCTACAAGAGGGGATAAGTGTGTCTAATACTAAAAAGTCAAGCATCAAGTTTGCAATGTGGGGGTGCATGATATTTTTTAATAAAATAATTTTTATTTAATTATTTTTAATATAATTTATTAATTTTTTCTTCCTATTTAATCTTTCATTTTAACTATGAAATTTATAGAAAAGGTTCTTTTTTATCTTATTAAATGGTTGAAAATTTTAAAAAATAATTACTCATAATTATATATTTTTAATTATTTTAATAATTGTAAATCTTAATATTTAACATTTGAAAATTTTAGAATATATATAAAGTAGATATACAAATTTATAATAAGTGAAATAGATTTGGACATTTCATGCTAAAGATTAAAGATACATTTTAGGGATTAAAGATACATTTTATTAAAAATTTAAATGCATTTATTTTATATTCATAGAATTCAATTAAAGCTCTCGTTAGATTCTCCCTCACCTACCGTGCGGAAAGTTTACTTTGTTAATTTGATTGTAAACAGTACTTATTAAATTATATGTACTACTTTTAAAACACAAGTTCTACTATTTAAATTACTATTTCAATTAATGTAATTAATTTAATTTGGTTTATATTTAAATTATTAAATAATAAATACAATTACTTACAATATTCAATTGTGTTGTGTCAAAAAAGAATGCAATATTCAATTGTGCAGTAGCTTTAATTGAAGAGAGAGTGGGTGGGACTATTTTATGTCAGGAGAGGGTAGAGTGATGCAGATTTTTTAGGTGCAAAGGTGAGAGAGGATTAGACCGTTTTAACTTATGGGTGCAAAATATGATTTTCCAGGTGGTGTAAAATATGGATAATAAATAAAATCATGTGTAAAATTTTAAAGTTGAGGGAGTGCAGTTGCATCATCTGGTGTAAACGTGACTCCGCCACTGGTTAGAATACTTAAAAATGTTAGTATTACACAATATCATTGATGTGTTTCAGCAATAAGATCTATCACCATTGTTTTTATAAGAGAGGGATAGAATAAGGAAGAGAGTTGATTCAGTTCACCAGCTTTTATAATTCCACATTGATTGTTTCAGCAATTGAATTAATGTTTATAAACCAATCAAACATACGATTCAATGAATCGAAAACAGTGTGAGAATAAGTGGACGGCCACGTAAACACCAGAATGAATTTTTAACAAAATAATTTTTAAAAAATGTTAACAAAAATAATTTAAGAAAACATTAAAAAAATTAATAAAAAAGAAAAAAATAATATATAAAATTAGTCTAAAATAAAAAATGTAAATAAAAAAATTATTTAAAAAAAAATAAAAAATATCACATGGACGGCCACGTAAGCACCAGAATAATATATTATCAAAGAGTAATCATAATTTTTCATAAACACATCAGCACCAACAAATATGACAGGCAATCACGCTTTCTCTAAATAGTTTCATACAACAAACAACCATAATAGACAACTATTTCCTTAGTAGTAGTATCGTCCTATCATGATGACATTTGTCATGACATCAGGACAAATTGAAACACTAACACTTTACTCTCTTTTTTTAGCCAAAAATAGAGTAAATGTAAAAATAATTATATTGCACACAAACGAAAACACACACTAGTAATGAATACAAATAAATGTAAACAAAAACTAATGGAAGCAAACAGAAACAAAAGTTGGTGAAAGGAAACAAATGTTAGAAAGTTATTACAGATCCAAACATTAAAGAATTTTTTTTTTCATCTTTCAAACCAAATATCCATACCAACCACCCGAGTCAATAAAATTGACACAGTCTTCATCGCCATCTAGGACAGAGGCATGCAATTGAACATGACTTTTCTTGCAAGACTTCATCTTTGTCATAGACTTTTTCCCTGTCACAAATGCTCCAATAGATATTTCCATCTTGGATTCAACCTTCTTTCGATTAGAACTCTTAGCCTTCTTTTCTGACTTAACTCTCAGCAAATGGGCCTTTTTTGCATCAACATTTTTGAACAAATGATTCATGTATTAATACAACTTGAGATGAGGGAGAGGCAATAAAGTTTTGATAGAGAAGGATGACCTTGCTTGTATCGACTGACCAGTCAAGAATAATTTTTTTGGAAGAAATATAATCATTCACATTATCAGTGCACCACTTACTATAGGAGAGAGACACTTTCATGTTATTCTTTTTCTCTTCCAAAGCTTTGACTGCTGGAGATTCTCACAACATTTGAACTGACTTTGACATGGTCAGAGATAACCTCATCCCAACTTGTGAATGCTCACATTCATCATCAAAACAATTCCAAAAAGAAACCTCTAAAATCTTCAATATATGATTTGCATTCGAAGATTTAAAAAATAAATAAATAAATATCTCCTAGTAGTTTATCAGAAGTCCCAAGCTTAGGAGTTACTATTTGTGCTTGTAGTAAGACCTTTGACAAAGTTGTGGTCGATATTAAAATAAAATCGTTGAATGTCCTGATTCAAACCAGCTTGCCACAATACAATGTCATGCAATCATGTTAGACATTGTATTCTATTAACATCCAAATCAATTGAGAGCAACAACTTCCTTCAGCATTATACTTAGCCTTAGATAAAGACTAGAATACATAAATTATTGTTGATTCAAGAGACAAGATTGTTTCCCAATAAATTCTTATACCAATTGAAATTCCAGCACTTTAAAATATGTTAATACTGATGTCCCAACATCATAACACAATGTGAAGACAAATGTCACGACATCTATTAAAAGACAAAACTAATATATCAAACTGTAAATTATGAAGAAATAAATTACAGTCCGGTGAAATTGTTAACTCAGTTCGGTACAACATCACCTACTCTGGGGACATCCAAGCTAGAAGGAAAATCCACTATAACAATATTAGTTTAAAGCCTAAACAATCACAGTTTACAACTTATCACGTAATCACTACCCTATGCAATTTCTATCTAGGAACCTCCTAGATATGAGAGCCCCCTCTCACTTCCCACAATCACCTCAGTGATATAATAGTCACAATCCTGTGACAAAACCAAAACCAAAGATTACACTTCTAATACACACTACTCAACTCTTTGCTTAAAAACTCATGAGTGAGAATAATGCTTAATTTTGTTTAAAAGCTTTAACTAAGAATAATAACTTGATATACAACCAACTCTTTTCTTAAAAGGTCATGAGTGAATGTCAAGTAACAATGAACAACCAGTCTACCATAATGTATCAAAAGATACAAGGGTGACACACAAAACACATAAGAGACTCTCAAAATCTAAGACTCTAAATTATCTCTTATTTTTTACAAAATAGTGAAAGTCAAATTACATTAGGTTTATATATGTTTCTCTTTATATACTCCTCAACAATCCACATGCTTCAAAATTTTCACCCAAATATTTCTTGATCCACAAGCTGGGGGCTACGCCAATTATGTGGAAAAATCTCCTTGAATCTTGGAACAAAACATCAAGTTTTCTAAATTGTCTTAACATCCAATTTTAAAAACTTATGTAGAGTTGAAGATCAAATCAATTGTTCCAGATTAAATCTTTTTGACCTTCACAAATAACTGAGATATATTCAAAATGAATCTCACGTAATCAAATCATATCTGTCAAGAATAATAACAATTTGTACCGATGTTCTGGTACAACATATCACAATATATGTTAGAACATTTGTCTTGTTATCACAATATTAAGACATCTCACACATCTTGTTCTAAACCATATTTTAACAAAATTATTGTCAATCCTAAAACTATAGATCTAATAAACTTGATATGGGACAAACAGTTATGCAACTCAATCAACTATGTCACTGTAGTAGCAAACAACAAAGCTTCATTCATGTTAAGATTCCAAAACCATTTTGACCAAACACCCATGTCGCTAACTGTGTTACAATTGGACAAGCCACTTATGCCGCCAAAATTCCATAAATGATCCATCCCCCAATTTACACGCAATAAAATTTTCAAACCAATTGTTGTCTTCTCCAGAAAAACCAAGTGTGAATAATAAAATACTAGTCTTACTGACCTTAGCTTAATTTCACATTTTCTTACCAATATACTTATTTAGATATTATTAAACATTTACTTTTAAATTTATTGCAATATTATCTTGCTTGCAAATTGCAATACGATCTTTTAAATTTAAATTTTAAATTTGTCAACTTAAAACTATGAAGATCAAATTTGAGTATTGATCATTGAAACTCATTTTAATTGATATACAATATTAATATATAAAAACATTAATCTTGGTTGTCAATTACAACCGTTTGATATTTTAATATGTTCAACTTTTATTTTATAATATATTTAAAGAGAGAGAGAATGTCTAATATATAATCAAACTATTGATCTTATTAAAATTCAGAAACATTACATAAAAAGTACATATAATAAGTGATTAACAACTTAGTGATACTCTTAAATAAAAGACGAAAGTAGCTCGGCTATAACCGTAGGCTTAGTTTCTCTTATTATTCTCATTCATTCGTAGTAGCTGACATAATATATAATTTCTTGTCGAAGATTCATCATTCATAATATTCCAACTTACCTAATTCTGCAACAACAACAACAAAACATACAGAGATTATTATTGGTATAAACAAAACAGATATTACTTATTTGTCTTTGATTGGAATCACAATTTTTTATTAAAATTATTTTAAGATAGTAAGATCTATGATTAGATCAAATATTAGTCACGTTAAAATATGTACCTAGCACAATTGGTGGAAGCACTCATCTTGTAAGGGATATTAACCCCACATTTGCCGGGGAGTGCAGCAGCATAGCCTACATTGATTCTTTTGAAAGAAGTAGCAGCTGACTTCAAGCAAGCACAAGTTGCCCGACGGTCAGCCGTGGTCCTAGCCCCGTTAATTAGCCCTCTAATGCCATAACAACAACCTGGTGACACAGCACCGCCATTCTGAACATAACCCATGCATGGCACTAGGCTACGAGTGACTTGTCCACATGAAATTGCACCACCATTTTGTGCATACAGCAAAGTGATGAACATCATAACAACCAATGCTAACTTGAAGTTACCCATTATTGGTAAGAAATGAAGTGATTGAATAGAGTGAATGGTGATGTGAGTTTTAAGCATGGTGCTGAGGGGTTTATATAGTGATTTTTGAAGACTGTCATTGAGTTTGGTGGTGGTTGTGTGTTATTTATTGGGGGACACATGACTATTATGTGACACTTTGAACATGCTTTCTTTAAAGAAGCAGCACTTCATTTTTTTAAATTTCAATATTGACTTTAATATTGTTATGAGAACATCTATATAAAATTTACCATTTATGTGAAGTATGGACTACTCCTTGTAAAATTAAGTGTAATTTACTTTTAATAATTTATACTAATAAAATTTTATGATATGAATTAATTTTTAAAATCACATATTAATTTAAAATTTTAAAATATTAAGTATATGACTTTTCTCACTTAAAAAAAATTTAATATCTATTTTTACATCTAATTTGAGAATCAGACTCCACTTCAATTACTAACATCTTATTATTCAAAAATCAAATTATATATTATTTTCTTGATTTTATTTTAATTTTTTAAAATTTTAAATTAATATATATATTAAAATTTTAAATTAATATATAATAATGAATAGCCAAAATTTTACCATTTAATATTTATTTTATATCATAAAATATTGAGATTTGAGGAGATACACTTAAATGCGAGGTTAAGGAGAAGAATGAGTTTCATTGAAGTTTTTTTATTATAATTTATAAATGAATTCATATACACTTTATTATAAATATTTTTATTTTAAAAATATTTGATTTTTCTTATAATTTTTATATTCGTGTATATTAATGATTATAATGTGTTGAAATTGTTAGTGTAAGGTGATAAAATTGAGGAAGAAGAGAGAAAACGAATAAATGCTAAAAGCTGCCACAAATTATTGTAGAGAATTGATTGTATTAAATATAAATCCGGTACACCTATTTATACACAAAAGTAGTAAAGATAAGAATGTCACATAGGGTCTAAAGAGAATATCCAACAAATAAGAAATACTAAATTATCATCTAATAGAAATATCAACCTTTTGACTATGTTACATGAACGATGTATATATAAATCTATTTTAGTGTTGAACAAATTCTAAAGTGGAGTAAAAAATTGTTAAAAAAATATAAAATTTTATAATAGGGTATATGTCTTTGTGTTTGTGTAAAAAATCATTTTTCAGATTTTTTTTAATGTGGCAATGGATGACAACTTTTGTTAGTATAAATTCACGATGAGATCTTTTGCATAATGCCAAAATAAGGAAAATTTAGCATTTATGTATATTGGACGGTATCTCAATTTCGTGTGGCACTTCTTTGCATTATGAGTCTTAGGAATCATTAAAAATTATTTTGTAATTGATCCAAGTCATGAAAAATAAGTTTCTGCATAAATTTTCATTGCATGTATCGACACATACAAATTTCAGGTCGACACATGCAACTCAATTTTGAAGTCTCTAGCCTCTTGAAGGCCCAGGTCGACATATGCATCATATAGGTCAACACATAGTGAAGGTTTTCTGAAATTGTAAAAAAATGTATTTTATCTATCGACACATGCAAATTTCAGGTCGACACATTTACTGTTGTTTTGAAGCCTGTAGTTACTGAGTTGCTTCGGTCGACACATACATTCTTTCAGGTCGACACATAGAGTTGAAATTTGAAGTATGTGTTGACACATACGATTGTAGGTCATAACATATTGTTTAATAAGGTCAATTTTTCAATTCTTTTTAATTAAGAAAATCTACTTTTTGCATATAAACTTCCACAACTATAAATACATCATTCATGCTTTATTCCAATTTGATAATACCATAAAAATTTCATGCAATTGCTCATCCCCTTCAACCTCCAACCTATGCGTACACACTAACTAATCATCGTAATAATCTTTTATTATGGTGCCATCTAGACGAGGTTCGATAACGTCCAATTAGGTTCTTGTGTAGCGAGAATATTGGTTTGAGATTTGCAGGGGTCTTCATCTGGAAAAATTGCAGGTTTGTCCTCCAAGATCATCAGTTGATTTAGGGGTTTTCGTGCAAGATGTTCAAGAGAGGATTGCGGCCTAGTGAAATCCTTTGGAGACAAATAACACACACGATCCTTTGGAGATAAAGAATACAAAGAAATTAGCGCGACAACGACTGATCAAATTGAAGTCTTGTGTTGTGTTGTACCCCAAAATTTCCCCTCTCATTTTATCAACATTTCTCATCACAAGGCTCTTTGAACTCAAGACCAAGCTAGGATTTGCTCTGCTCAAGACATCTCCTTGCACTATTGACCTAAATTAGGGTTTGAGTTTGCAAAGAGAATTTTGGACTTCTAATGCTCAAAGTGACTTTCATACTTCATGTTGGACTCATAAGTTTGACCATACCAAGTTTCAAGCCTTGAATTAAATTTTTGCCCAGTCAATTGTACAGTTGACCTAGAAATTAGTTGTATTGGGGAAAAAGTCAACTATGGTCAATTTACAGTCAAACCTCGTGAATTTTGACCCACTTAAACATTATGAACTCATATGAACCATTTGATCAAGTTTGGACCACAACTCTACAAGAAATTTGATCAGATCACCAAAAGGGCAAAATGGTCATTTTTAGGGTTTTGACTGTACAAAGGCAATTTCTGATTTTTGACCTAGCCAATGGCAAATTGGGTTCAACCATGGACTCAAGGACTCAATGGCATCATATTGATCTATTCAACAAGTTCAAAAGATCTCAATTGCATTGGATTGACAGATGAATTTTTCAGTCAACTGATCAAAATTTGATTGTACACTAAAAAGTCAAACTTTGACTTTTTGGTCAAAATCAAGTGCCAAGGGTCATTTTTCATCAAGATGTGTCAAAACATGAAACTTGTTCATCAAGAAACCCATTTTTGCAAATTAGGGTTTAAAGTTGAAAATTTTCATAACTTAGAATTTTTCTAAGTTATGAAATTTTCTTAATTTTTCCTAACTTTGCCCAACATTTTCACCATGATGCATTTGGATTAAAACAAAACTTCCAACATGAAATTTGTAGTCCTCCACAAATTCCACAACTTTGATTCACAAAGTTTTTCCAAAAGAAGCTTGGATATCAAGTTATGATCTTTGGAACAAGGGTGCCTAAAACTTTTAACTTAGAGAAATTTTGCCCTAGTTTAGGCAGGATTTTGACCTATCTTCTTGGACATTTTTCACATAGTTCCACTTGGAATCTAAAGTTTCATTTTAAATATGGATTTTAAAGCATGTTGCAAGCTTTCCAAAATGTCCAAGAACTCTCCAGACACATTTGTGGTTAGAGAGAATCGAAGGCTTGAAGTTGGCAAAAACTCACTTTTCATCCATGGCATGTTCATGTTCATACAAGTTGCAATTTCAAGTCAGCATGCTTTGCACTAGATTACAGGCCTCTAAACCACTTAACACTCAATAATTTAATGCAAATCCATTGGTCTAAGGTATTGTTTTGGTCATTAGGGCATTGTACACAAAACTAATCCCTAAGTAGAAAAAGGTACATTGCCATTTTGGCCATACTCTTGCTTTATGTCAAACCATAATCTTTGAGCTTTGGTCCAGATATTTTGCAGCTAGTCAAATCCACAGGTTGGAGGGGCCAAAGGCAATGTGTACAAGGTGTTGGATAGCCTGTACAGGCCTGTTATATATCACTTCCCACTTTTGCTTCATATACAAGAAATATGCCAAATACATGAGAACTTGAACATCAGCCAAAGAAAACTTGTGCAAGCTTTTGAAACATCTTTCTCACATCCCTCTGAGCCAGAAACATGATCTCTTAAGCCCTCAAACATCCCATAGCCAAAAATCACCTTCCATTAGCAAAATAGGGCAAAACCTGCAACTTGACTTCCATAGCTCAATTGGCTCGTGCGTTTTCCCCAAGTTGGTTCAAACACCTTCCATTCAACTCATCCAAGCTATCCCAAACCTCAAACACCAAATGTAACCCCATTTACAGGGTTTGCCATTTTCATTTTGAGCTTGTGCAGGTTGAGTTCTGTAGGCTGATTCAAGCATATTCAAGGCAAGCATGGTATTGGAGAAGGTCAAGTGAAGTTCAAGCAAGCTCCCAGACATCTCAAGCCCTATTGAAAAGCTCCACATTTCCCTATACGAAGTCACCTGAAACAGGTTTTTGTCAACTTCATATCTCTCTATTTAGGAACATTTAGCCTTAGGTTTGTGAATAAGAAATGTAGTGTTCATTGCCATGAAGCTGTACATATGCTCAGTTTTCATTTATATTAAGCATGCTAAGAGAATTTCATCCTTGAACATACTGAAAAAACTAGGTTAGATTTTAGGGCCAGAGAAATTCTCTCTGGTCTTTGAGAGTTAGGATAAGTTGCTTATATGGTTGGATTCGTCTTGAAATGCTCTACAACTTTGATGTTATGTGTTTTTGCAATAGAGCTCATATACAGGATCTGACAATTGTACAGGGCGCGCGCGTTTTCAAAGTCAGAGGTTGAAGATGAAGTGGCTTGGGCTGGGCTTTGGTCCTTTCACTTTTGACACCTCCCATTTCCTTTTTGCACCCCCTGGCCCAATTTCTTGTTATTTTATATTTTTGCATTTTTATTTTCATTTCTGATTATATTTTATTATTTCCAAATATAAAAAATACTCAAAAATTTTTTTTATAATTTTTTCACATATATTTTGCATTTTATTTTTATTTTTCTAACATAAAAAGCAATTTAATTACTTTTGTCTTATTTATTCAAAACTTGAAAAAATATATATAAATTATACTTTTATTTTTATTCTTATTCTTTATTTTTATTCACACTGTAAATATTATTCTAAATATATTTTATTTTTGTATATATTTTATTTATTGTACATATTTAATATAATATACATATATATATATATATATATATATATATATATATATATATATATATATATATATATATATATATATATATATATATATATATATATATATATATATATATATATATA